GTAACAGAACAATGTATTTGCTTTGTAGGATTTGCTAGAGCTTCTCATTCAGACAGAACTTGGCAGAAGACCAAAGTGTTCCTTCCGATCTCTCAGAGGCTTCCTGAGAGCACAGATGAATGAGCGAGACACAGCTGGCCCTGGAGCAGGAAGAGGCCATGCAATCCAAACTGGGAGCAGTGGGGGGTTCTGGGAAAACTCTGTGCAGAAGATCCTGGGTGAGGAGGACACCCTCCGCTCAGAGGTGCAGAGCCTGCAGTTGAGGCAGTTCTGCTGCCAGGAGGCCAAAGGACCCCGAGAGGTTTGCAGCCAACTCTACCACTTTTGCCACCAGTGGTTAAAGCCAGAAAGGCACACGAAAGCTGAGATGCTGGACCTGGTGATCTTGGAGCAGTTCCTGGCTGTCCTTCCCCTGGAGATGGAGAGCTGGGTGAGGGAATGCGGAGCAGAGACCAGTTCCCAGGCGGTGGCCCTGGCCGAAGGTTTCCTCCTGAGTCAGGCAGAGGAGAGAAAGCAGGTGAGAGAGACTTTGCTCTGGATACTCCCAAAGGGCTCCGAACAGGGATGGAGAACATCCCATAATGCTCTACTGTTGGCCCATCTGTTTTCTGGGAAAGCATCCATGGAATGAGATCTCACACCCTTCAAGTCTTTGTCATTCTCTTTCTAGTATTTCTCCCCATTCTCTGTTTTGAATCCTTGTTTTTTCTCAGGGAAAGGATCTCTTTGCAGAAATGGACCTGGATTCCTGTGAGGCAGAGAGGCCTCCGTTGGACACCAGAGAGAGGCCACTGGGTAAGGAGGAAGGTGGTTTTTCTCCATTTGGTCTCATTCTGTTGGTTTTCCAACTCATCTGAGGGTTCTTTTCATCCTTGTTTTGGGGAGAGACAGTTGGGAACAAGGGTCCAGAGGAGGGGAGATGTATTTCTGCACAACAAACATATGAAATGGGCACAAACGTCCAAATGCTCTCAGTAGGTAAGTCTTTCTCAAAGGCCCATCTGTAGTTAGAGATGCCCTGTTTCACCTGTGAGAGAAGCAGACTCCTGGCGTCCTGCTTACCTTTTTTCTCTTGCAGGTGGCAGAAGGATGCCGGCAAGACCTCCTGATCCGCCTTTTCATGGGGGCAGAAGGGAAGCAGCGGCTGTGGAACCAGATCAGGTCAGGGGAAGCTGCCTTGTGGGGACAGAGGCCGAGGGATGGAGCAATGTCATGGACTGGTTGGGCACAGAGGAATGGTGGGAGAAGCAGCCGGGGAACCAGGAAGGGAAGACGGCTCAGAGCCGAAGGAGTGGAGGTGGAGGAAGGATGGGGTCAGAGGGAGAAGAGGGAGAAGCCTGGGAAGAGGAGGTGTCAGAAGCTGAAGGGGAAACAGGGCTTAGTGAGCTGGGAGA